AATTGCCTTTGATGCCTCTATGATGTTAAAGCCCATAGACTTGGACTTCCAACTGACATTTTCGGACAGCCCCAGTAAAATCCAGCACATGTGCAGTGCAAAGTATCCTTGATTTCCACTCATATAGTACATAGAGTAAATGTAATTTAAAATATCTTGCAACATATTAGTAAGAATTCCTGTACACCACTCATGTTACATTCTGTGACGCAAGCTATGCATTTTATTACTTCAAGCTTTCATTACAAACTACCAGCACTGTTATAGGACCTGCAAAAATAGTTTCTGGTCAATTTCCAGTATCAGTTGATGTGATTATGTAATTTGTTTTTTAAATTCTAACAAAAAGCTAACAAAAGCTTTGATAGGCAGATTTTACTAAGAATATAATTCATTTTTTAAGAAGATAAATTTGTCAGACAGACATTTTATTCAAAATACGCAACCGTTTATGAAATACACCACCCATTAATTAATATAATTTAATTGTTTAGTAAAAATAAAGGAAAATATTGATCAAAGTGATCTTATGAATTGAAACAATAACAACTTGTACTAAATGAGAACACTCAATGTTTAAACAACTGTCTTGTTGAGACAGTAGTACCTACCAACTTAAATATTTTAATTATTACAGAAAACTAGTGTATTATAGTTTGTTTGATCAGAATTTTATTTTCTTTCATCCTATGTAATTTTTCTATCCCTTCTGGGTTTTGTTGTGATATAATCAACAAATACATATACCATATAAATACTACATGTTTATTAAATAAACAAAACATGTATGTTATTGACAAAACTGGACCAGACATTTTAATGATGCTGTCGTGTCCATGGTTACAGGTAGTGTCTGGGATTGTCCATACATTCAATGGTCTTCTTTTTCCCTGTGTAGTAAACATTAGGTCAGTGACACATGGTTCTTTGTGTCTTGTACCACCCTTCTTTATCTAGTGGTCATGGGATTCTACATCTTTTTGTACGGCTTTTTATAGCTCTTAATTTTTAAATTAATTTAGAATACCGTAATTATTCTATTAGGTAGCCTACTAGATTTTTTGTCAAAACGATGTAATTTGTTATTTTCCTCTCACAAATCAATCACATGGCAGGGAATTGTCACATTAAGACGCTATCAATCCACCTAAATATTTCTAGACATGAAATAAATTTTCTTACACATTTAAGTCTTCCTGTGTTTTGTTTTCATGTTTCACATTTTCTCCGTTGGAAATTAACTAAATATCTTTAATTCTACAATCATGTTAACCACTGATTATAATACGTACTGTGCTCTACTGTGGCACATTTTCCATGGTCAGTTGGTACCACATGCAATCAGACGATTACTGCGCAGCAGTTCTTGGTCAGAGATGTTCATCTGAATAAGGGGCTTGACTATATCCCAACCATGCATCTCCAGCCTTGCTCTGTTAACCACTCACAAATTTAATTTTTCTTCTGACAATTCCGCCTCCTCTAAAAAATATTATTTGTTCATGATCTAATTATTGCAAAAATTGTTGTATTTATTTTTATTATGATCAAGTAATGGATTCCTTGGTTATTTTGTCTGTTAGTTTTTTTTTTACAATGGTAATGGTAAAATTAAGGCATATTAGTTAATCAAAATAACTTTTTTTTTGCAGACATGCTGGCAGTTCATGTGTTCTTGATCAGCCTTCTCTATGTAGTACAATGGTATGGTCCTCTAGCTACCACAAAAGAATGGCATTTGAGTAAAACAATGCTGTTGTTATGTAGATGTTCCACCAATCAACCCTCTCTCCTAAGCCTACTCCCCTATGTAGTTGAATGGTACGACTCAAATAGCTCAGATGGATTCCTGAATTTCAAATACGGGTAGGTAAGCTCTATTCAGGGTGTGTACTTCACAGACGGCTGTCATTCACAGCTCAGTTCAGCTACAGAACTTGACTTTGAGAATAGTTAAGGGTGTTTGCAATTGGTGAAAGTTTTTAGTATTTAGAAAGTGTAAGATTGGTGAGTTTTTCATCATCTGTGAGTCTGCCAGGGTCATTGACTTGCAGATGTGAGAGGCTTGAGTGTTGTGTAATTTATTGAGATGATCACAGACAGCAGCGAATCATAGGTGCTGCATTCAAGTAACAAGTTGTTATTATTACCATTCAATGGAACTTCTCTTTTTCCTCCAACAACATGACTACCAAATCTGGTTTATGGTCGAAGATTATCCAAAAAGCGTCTTCTGTAATAACGCACTCAGATGCCAGCAACCTGCAGGAAAGTGGACCAGAACTGTGCATTCAGTTACTGCGTATACCAACGATACAGAACTATGCTGGACTCAAGAGAAGAATCGCATCGAGCGACTCGGAATGGATGCAGGAGTTTATTGAGTTGGATGGGATCGGTGTATTGATGGAAGTCCTTGAAAGAGTCTCCGATCGAAGATTGTCCAGTTTTTCAGATGCTTACCTACAACTTGAATGCATTGGATGTGTGAAGGCTGTTATGAACTCACAAACTGGTCTAGACTATATTATTGGGACCAGAAAAAACAGATCATGTATAAGAAAGCTAGCTTCAGGTAAGATTTCTATTGAATTGAATTTTCCTTCAACCTGCATGTATGGTCTGATATATATACTGTTTTTGTATATACCTTATAATATTGCATTTTATCACATTTAACAGTAACCAAATTAAATTCTGAAAATCTGTGTGTGATGCGTGAAGAATTTATTTATTATATTATTTATCTAGATCGATTGTATTCATTACTGTTGGTGCATGAAAGTATATGAAATAATTTGCCGGAAGAAAAAAGATTCTCCAGCCATTAGGAATTTTTTTTTTTTATAAAATTTTAAAATTATAATTAAACCCAATTTTTGTCTGCCAACATTTTTGTGCCATGGGGATAAGGGCTTCAAATCAATTTTTGTTTTGTCAATGTTTTGGTAAATTAGTTTAAATATGTTTTGGAGAATTGTTTTTCCACCGAATTAATGTGCGTACACATACCAGTGTTTATCAAATTGATAGTATAGGTTATGAATGATATAATAATTGTTTTCAGTGAATATTAAATGATTTTTCAAGTTAGTTTGTCACGTTTATTTACTGTGTTTGCGAGTAAGGACCTCTCAATTGTTGCTTTAAAAATTTCACAGATGTTGAATACATCATATCTCGAACATGATTATGTCTGTGACATTTTAAGCCCATTTAACATTGTTTATCATTGTAATTAGGATTCTTATCCAATTAAATGTATAATATTACCTTATGTAATGTTACTTATGAATGTCAGCGCATTCTCACCCACAGTCATACAATGTTATCGACACCACAGGATTATTTGGTACAACAACTTATACAACCAAATACCTAATAATTCATCCATAGTTAGAGAATCTCTTTATTTTCTTTAATAATTAAAATTGAGAACAAGGTTATGGTTTCTCTCTTAATTCCCAATTTAAACATCTGGATTACACAATAAACATTTAGTAGTTCAGTTTTATGTAACTTTTGTGGAGTAGAGAAAGAATACTAATTTATGAATAGTTCACAATTTTGATATATTTTCCTATTTAACCGGTCACTGAAACTTTCATGAAATTGTGATGGAATAAGTTTGATAAGATATCGTGCTCTGTATTTTTTTTATAATAAAATGAATGGGTGAGTAATACATCTGTCTTTACTGTCTTATATTTGAATAAGGCTTTGATTTGACCATTTGACTTGGGTTGGGTTAGGTCATCTATTGAGTAAACCAGCTCATAAATTATTCACTCCTATATACAGTAACCATGGTAACTTTTCAATTTAAAGTCTGACATTCCTATCACTATTTCATGGAAAATGAGCTCTTAACAACTATTACGGATGAGAATCCGAATTCAAGGTGATTTATATTTCGCAATGAAGATGAAATTTGATGATACACTAACATTTTTCAATTGTTCTCCAATTATCTTCTTGATAAAATATCATTCTATCAAATAAAATAAACTATTCTGAAATCAATCAATTGATCAATCAATCAATCAATAAATCAATAAATGAATCTTTGTGTACAGCCAGTTGAGTGTGATTCAATATACTATATTTGCTTTATTAGTTCGTAGTGCATGCGATTAAAGATGCAATTCGAACGAAAACATATATTTTTTAATTATTTGTGCTTGATAGTGCATATTGAGAACAAATTGGATTATGATTTATCTTAAAGTAATTACGTAACTTTTCAGCGCTCACAACGGTAGTATTCGTTTGATGAAATTCATCACTTCATATGCTAATTAGAAACAAATACTCATCATTTTAAGTTTATTAGAAATCCTAATCCAATAAACAACATTAAAAATGATATATATTTGTCTATATTACATCTTTAAAAGGCATAAGAAAGTCTGTGTCAAAATACGTCATATTTAAATGATCCATGGTGTGTATACAATAAATACAACTATTGGTTGTCATGTGCTTTGCACTGCTATTGGAGAATGTATTTCTAATATAAGCAAATATGCTACTTGGTATATATTGAGAATTAGAAGTATGTGTTTACCCTCAAATTCCGTCTTCATTGTGAAATACAAGGAGGTTGCTCAAGGAATGACCACCTAAGGGGAAAAGAGCAAATGGTCAAGCCACATATCAAACCGTTGATTCAGATATTTCCTGTTCTATATTACATTCATTTTAATATAAAAATGCAGAACCAAATATTGTCAATAAATTTTCAGAAACTTTCAAATTTCTGTGAAATGTTAATGAATTTAAACTTTTCAAGTACAGGCAATCAGTGTCAACTTTTATAATAAACATCTTCCTTTTGGCTTTTGAAACTTACAAATAATATTTCTTATTTTTATGTATACATCATTTCATTTTATAAGGATGAATGAAATTATAAAATAAAAATATGAAGTCAGAATTGTTAACTGTTTGAGCACCCATGCCAACTAGTTGTCACTTAACACAAAACACCCAAACTGTTTCAAAAATTGTTATCAACATGTTTAGTGAATGTATATTAGGTTTTTTTGGACCAAAATGAAAAAAAAAAAAAAAATGACATAAAAGTATGTTAAATGTTGCTTCTAAATATTAGCAAGGAAAATGATGGCATTGAAAAAGACGAAGTTCAGAGAAAATTTATGAACAAAATATCATGTTTTCCCTGTTATAGGGTATTTTACCGTTATGATTGTTTCTTAAAATCACAGTACAGTATCTCAAAACAAAAGCAGACAAAATGTCTTGTAAGGTTGATGTCAACAAGTATGAACAAATTTATATTATTTTTAGTGGATTTTAATGATGAAATGTGAATTTCATAATAATCTATGCAATTAACTGTTATAAATTTACTTTTTATGCGAATAATTTAACGTTATTTTTTTCCTAATAACACAGCATCTGGTGAAAAAAATGACACATTCACAAGTTTTTTGTAATATATACTGCATTTTTGATAATTTAATTTTTTCGTAAGATAATGGGCATAATTAACAAAAATGTGCTTTTGAGGAGCTATGGTAATACTAAAATAGTTAATTATAGACACAAAATATTAGCACTGATATATTTTGATATAATATTTCAAAACCATCATGTGATACCTTCAGCAAAATTAATATTATATTTCAGATACTTTGTTAACTTAATTACATATTACAGATGCTTAAGAGATGTGTCAGCACTAAACAAAAGATTCTATTCCAGTACCAAGTAAAAAACAAATCTTCTCAAATTCGCTAATTGCTTTGAAAACATCTTGTGCCACTATTTGCTAACATGTGCACGTGGAATGTCTGACCATGCTTAACCTGTACAACAAGCTCTTATCACATGTATGTTGTTTATTTCATTTGTTTGTGATCGTTGTGATGCCTGTAGAGAAGATGGAGATAGCGGTAGTCAGGAAAGGGACATACATGTACGTGCTCGCTGTCACGCTTCTTAAAAGATGATCAACTCTTAGTTCGGTTTGATTAGAAGGATTTTCATAGGTGCTCTTCCTAGAAATCTATATGCTCAGTGAACCAATTTTATCATATTGTCGTAAGGGAATTGTTTTATAAATAAGCCAAGCATAATAAATCCAGATTGTATGTTATTGTTCACGGAGTACATTCCTAATAGCATATACAAACATGTAATAAATACTACTACTAATAATAATAACTTTATTATACTACCGAACCATCAGCGGGTTCAGTATGGTAAATACAAAAGTATTACAAGACTAGGACAATACTAAATACAATACAATACAAGACAATAATAGAAAATACAATAATAGAAAATAAGAATAAAATAAAGACTGAGTTAAAAAATAAATGTTAAAAACAATTCCTAGAATGAATACAATTAAAACAAAAACTGATCTAAATAAGTGAAGTGATTAAAAATGTTTATTTTGGCCTACTGTGGAATACCGGTACTTCATTTTCGCTGGAATTAATTTTCGCTGAAAAAGGCTTTTTGGGCGTTTTGTATGGAATTTATTTTCACTGATTTTTGATGAGTTTAATGTGAAATATAGGAAAAAAAGTATATTCGCTGGATTTTATTTTCACGGAATCATCGCTTCAGCGAAAATAGCGAAAATAAATTCC